TATATATTTCACAAAATTTCATGTATTCTGTATTTTCCCTGTTCTTCACTGGACAATATAAATAATAACGCGCATCTTAAAATCAATAGTCATCTGTGTTTATTTGTCGCAGCTCCTGTGTCCTCTGTCCTGCTGGTCTCTGAGTGTCTGTCCCAGGGAGAGAGGAGGGTGTCCTGCTTCTCTGAGGGAGGGGACAGTCCTCGGTACAGCTGGACTCTGGATGGACGCACACTGACAGATGCTGAGCTCCTTTCTGGAGATAATGAGAGTTACAAAATCATTCTGAAACAGCACATCACAGGACATCTGGTCTGCTCGGTGTGGAACAACGTCAGTAATGTCTCCAAAGAGGAGAGAAAATATCTATCTGTGGTGAGTGAACACATTATTAATAAAAGCTAAATAGCGATTTGCGTTTATTATGGGCGCTGTAAGGTTTTCATAAATCCTTCGATTGTTTGCTCATTTCTATTGTTTGCACATTAGTCAACAGGGCACAAATATCATATCCATCCATTCCCTTCTGCTTATCAGGGTGGTGGAGAGGGCTGGAGTCAATCTCAGCTATCTTAGGGCAAGAGGCAGGCTACACCTTTGACAGGTCCCCAGACTGATTTAGGGCTAACACAGAGAGACAGACAACCATTTCCACTCATACCTATGGGATATTTACAATAACCAGTTAACTTAACCCAACTAATATCATGAAATCAAAATGTCAGCAATGATGACTGGTACTTTAGCAAATAAAAATGGAGTTTTATGAAGTGGATTCATTGATGTTTATTTTCTTTGTTGTCTTCTTCATTTGTTGACTTATTTGTTTTTATGTCATTTATTTTTGCAGCAGTAATTTTGCTATTGATGGTTGGTGTCCTCTCAGCACTGGTGATTTTCTTAGTTGTGGGTATAGCAGTCATCTGTTTTCAGAAGAAAAAACAAAACAACATATCTGCAAGACAAGAAGGTACAAAACTTTTGTTGTGCTCACTGCACTCTGGTTGTTTATTGCTCTTTTTTATAAGTTGATAATACATGTAAATATATAAAGAATAAAATTTGCTCTTGCTTTTATTTTAAAAACAAACAAACAACCGTTTTACTTTCTTAAATATTGATAAGGAATGTCTTGATGCATGCTCAGTTATTCAGTTAAGTAAATCCCAAAAGGTTGATTCTGATCATGTTGATAAAGAAGTCATGTGAACTCACAAAAAAAGACAATTTTAAATCAGTTTGTGTGTGATTTTTGCTCAGAATCTGAAATGACATGTTTATCATTTTCTGTTTCTTTTTAACTCCTGTCAATCTGCATAAGTCAAACTATTGTATTAATGACTTACTGAGTTTTATTTTATCTTCTTGTTACTCTGCAGAGGAAGAAGATGACCAAGTGGAGCAAAGAGCAGCAGTGAAGATGGAGGTGGAGGTACAATACGCCCAAGTCAAGACTAAAAAGCGATGTAGGCACACAAAACCGACAGGAGGTGATTGCTTGTATGCAAAGGTCCATAAAGGTAATTTAAGTGATTGCTGAGTTTAGGTGGGCTGCAACACTGAAAGTCCATGGAGGGAGAAGGTGATGGAAAGATACCTAAAGGTTTTTCATTTAATGTGATTTCACATCAGACTAATCATCAAAGCTCATTAATATTGATTTTCATTACTTCGAGTTCCAAATTACGACAGGGCATCAATGCATCCAGTCTTAGATTCTCTCTATATTTAATTACAGAAGCACTGTATGTTTTTTCTGCGTTTGTATTTTGTTGAAGGTCTGATGGAACAAAGATTGTGATTGTAATGAGGGATTTTCTTTTAATTTGAAATTGACTAGTTTTGACTTTGTAATTGTGGAAAGTAATCATCAGATTAAACTGTTGCATGAATGCAGTGCAACCAGTACTCTGGGCAGTGATAAAACATCCAAATTCCAGCTTCTCTTATAGAATTATTATTTTTAAAGAATAATCAAACACATTGTGTTATTTGGTGTCATCACTATTAAGCAGTACTGGCAGTATAACAAACACACATTCTTTATACATTTAAACACAAATCAGATCAGATTTCTTTATATGCCACCAAATCATAACATCTCATGAAACATCACACAGTAAAACCTTAGAGTATTGTAGATTTGTGCACTGCTAAACTACTTTTTATAGTGATTAAAATAAGCATCAGTTTTGGATCTATAGGCACATGCTCAACACAGTGGAAGCCTTTTTTCACTTACAACAACCTATAAATGCTTTGAATATGTTTATACTGGACAGTAAATTGACAATAAGCTTCAGCACGAATATCAAAGAGATCTTCAGAGTCAAGATAACATTTAATCAGCTCAACTATGCTTTTATAATTATGTTCTTGCTTTTTTATTCAATGTCAATATTAGATAAACAACAAAATGCACATGTAGAGATAAATTTGGAGACAGTGACATTATTCTTTTTTTTTTTTGTTTAAGATTATTTTTATAGGTTTTGCTTTTGTATAACTACACTGTAACAATATATTTGAAATATATTTATATATTTGAAAAAATTTATTATTGTGCATTTGGTAATTTACAGAAATATTTACAAATACTGAAATGCATGTCTAACATAAACTTTGAGATGATTGAATGATGTTGATAATTATTGTGTTACTGATCTCTTTGGAGTCTGTTTCACGTCCACATTCTATCAGCATTACTGACGAACAAAGCTCTAAAGTTATTAAATATTTAATACTTTAATCTCGTTGACTTTTTGTGTCATTTTTAAAAAAAAAAAAAAAACAAAAACAAAAAACAAAGGTTTCCGTGAGCTATCCTTATAATTACAGATCATACAGCTGGTTTATATATCTCTTTCAATAATCTTTGGCTCCAAAGGCTAATAACTACTTTGTGTTGAGCATTTAGGATTATTAAAGTAAGCATGATAGACAGTGGTGAATATATTCTCCAGGCCTACTATTGATACTGATAGTAAAGCAGACAGTCTCATTATTGACAAAATTAATTGTGTTACAGTAGCTGTGAAAAATGCGCAGAAAAATGCACATTGTTTTTTGCATATGCCTGATATTCCGGCATCATACATAACGTGATAAAAAACCTAGCTGGATCTTTTATGTTGGAAACAGTTACACAGACTTTGAAGGCTACTACTTTTGTGTGCATTTTCTGTTTCACACAGTTTAGTTTTACTTATATCAGCTTTTTGTTAGATTTAAGCACTAAAACCTCAAGATTAAATCTGTCCTATTAATAACCCTTTACCTTGAAAAAAAAAACAATGGAGGTGTGCCTAAGCAGCTATGTATCTACAGCTTTTTAATAATACTTACTTTTAAACTGTTACCAAATTCTACACCTGAATAGAGAGAAACTGCTTTAATCTGAAAACAGTCATCATCCCAGTCTGTGCTCCTGATAACACTGTCCTGTTGTGGACAGAGAAGTGAAGCAACATAAGAGGTCAGGTAAAACTAAACACGCCAGCTAATCATGTATTTAAAGGGTTAGTTGTATTGGCAATTACAGACCATGTTTGTGTTTCAATCCGATCCTATCATGAAAAAATGGATACAGGAGGCCAACTCAAGGGGTTCAGCACAGCAGGATAGATGCAACAGAGCAAGGGAGAAACTGCAAAATGAAGATCAATGATATCTGGGACCTGGAAAGCATGGGAGGGAGATCATGAAGTTGTTTTTTTTTTTTTTTTTGGTACCAGTGTTGGTCATGGAGAAGGAAAAGTAACAGGTGAGTACATGTGAGAGAGTATACCCCTATTATACTGCTGTAATGGTTTCTAGAGCAGTAAGACTGTTATGGACATGAATGCAACATACTGTTGGACAGCTAATTATAGGGAAGGGTCAAAATATAACCAAGAAAAATAACAGAGACGCTCTTCATGCTAAAAGCTGCATCTGCACCTGTGGTTTGAGTAGTGACCCTTGCTGCTGCTTCATTTCCTTGTGGTTACAGTGACAAACTTTTCTTTTATGTTGAAACATGTAACCTCAACAAATTGGACTTTTAAAACTCACCGAGCAACACAACAATCATTAATGTCTGTAAATGTGTTTTGAGCAAGTAATATGTTATTAAAATGTGTCAAATAAAATATTTATAGCTTAATTATAAATTATAATGACTGTCATGTCTGTGTTAAACTGGCATCAAAGTGTTCATAAACTTCTTTTTTGGTTAATTTTATTTAAATGTAAATATTAAAGTCCATTAATTAGTTGGACAATAAAATGACATGACTTGGTTTGGGATTTTAGTGTCACTAAATTGATAAACAACTTCTCTCTCTTCTCTCTCTGCAGTTCTATTATAGCTACATCCTGCCTATTGTGATCAATGGAAACCAATGACAACTGTGTTCTGTAGTTAAGATTAAAAAACTGTGAAGCAGTCGCATCCTGGATGGTCTGTATTTACCACAGGAAACATGGTCAGTGTAGGCTGGGCCTGTTTGTATCTTGGTAAAGTATAGGAGGTTGCCTGAAAGTTGCCTGCTGAGTCAAAAGAGGCTGAATAGTAAAGAAGCATAGAAGCTATGTTTGGATTGTAGGTGATGTTATAGGATACTCTTAACGTGAGCTGTGTATAATTATTTAAAACCTGCATCAGGTGCGGCATTAGGTACAGTTACTGAATACATTTCGAAACCTGGTGTTTTATACATAAACACAAAGCTGAGAACTAAAGCAAAGTTGAAAACCAACTCAAAGACACTTTAAAGTGATCACCTCAGTGATTCGTCTGTAAAAACATGAACAGGGTTAGCTGGTGAACCAGTGCTTCAAACCCAACTGATCATACTGTTACTTGATGAGGGTTCTTTTCTAGCTCTGCATTAGCATGGTGTTAGTGCAGTTTTCTGGAAAGAGCAAAAGTTGTGTTGGCAGTACAATGCTGTTTTTTCTGCCCAGGATGCAGTTTACATTTTCCTGTTCTGCACGTGTCCTGTCATGCAACAACACTAAAAGTAATGACCAGAAAGCCACTTCTCAAAACCTGTAGATCATGGGTGTCGCACTAGCACAGGCTTCAATATCGCAGACTCAACAGCTTTGGTAAATGTGAGTCCAATTTTAGACTTTAAACTGTATTTTACAGGAAAAGACCGGTCCTTATGACCATTCAGACTACATCAAAGTAATTAAGTAAGAGATAAATGACAGACACATTCATGCTTTTCACTATTTACCTTTTTTTTTTTTTAAGTGATCCTTGAATAAATTTATCTTTTTATAGTTACAGGACAGTCTGGGAAGAACAATCTCTCTAGACTTCTCTTATTTACTACACCAGAATTTCTTTACCATGTAGAAAAGCTGACATCCACTGACATCCATCTGCAAGATTAATGTATAATTTAACTTTTTTGAACAGACAGGGAATATGTCTGGGAGGGTTCTCAGTCATGCAGGTCATCATAATCTAAGGAGCTTGGAAAGAAAAAAGCATCTGGACTTCTTTAAGTTGCTTGAAGAAATTTCACTTCTCATCCGAGAAGCTTCTTCAGTTCTAGGATCAAATGGTGGAGAGTCCCAGATTTAAGCCCTGTGGGAGTATGATAATATTCTGTCATCCATTGAGCATCTGGTGAAGACATGTAATCACCACATTGGCGGGTTATTGGTACTTAAAACTAACTAATGAACCAGTTTAACACACGTCTGGAGAAATGTATGCAAGTACATTGACAATACATAAATGTGTAAATGGTGTCATATTACTGGTGTAAAAATGCTATGTCAAAATACAGTGTTGTAAACAAAGTTTATGTTAATAAAGTATGTTGTTTTAAATGCTATTTAGATGTTCATACAATAGCTATTCGTACGAGCTAAGAACATGTGAGACTTCCAGATACAGAAGGACAAAATGGTGATGGCTAACCAACCAGACATAGTGGTGATAGACAAACAGAAGAAGACGGCCATAGTGATAGATAGCGGTTCCGAATGACAGCAACATCAGGAAGAAGGAAAACGAGAAACCTGGGAAATGCCAAGGAGTCAGAGAAGAGCTCGAGAAGATGTGGAGGGTGAAGGTAACCTTGGTCCCAGTGGTAATTGGACCGCTAGGTGCAGCGAGTGAGTGGCTCCAGCAGATCCCAGGAACAACATCTGAGATCTTTGTCCAGAAGAGCACAGTCCTAAGAACATATAAGACATTACACAGGACCCTCAAGCTTCCAGGCCTCTGGTAGACACCTGAGCTTGAAGGATAGACCGCATGCAGGGGAGAGAGGGGTACATTAAAAAAAACATCAGTCAAAAGTACTGGAGCATCCAGCTGATTTTTGCAAGTTTATTTCAGAAAGTTTTTTTTAGTTCTACTCAACTATTGAGTGTCTTACATTCACTTACTATTTAAAGAAATTATTCCTTTAAAATGAATTTTGATCTCCTAACTGATGCATGAACTGACACTGAATATGACAAAAATACACTCCAAATGCATCTAACCTAGGGATGGGTACCGGT